CCTCGCGGCTCGCGCCATGCTACTTCCATCGATAGGATGAGCAACATCCAATGAATCTTCGGCTAGAACATGGAAACATACACCCGCCGATGCATGCACGTTCGCACACACCCCGGACTCGGAAACCACGTCCCGATGCCAACACCAGACCCCTGCACTGCCCGTGCACCCCATCCGAGCCGTCGCGCGAATCGACAAACCACTCACGACGAAAACAACAAAAAATTTTGAACGGCCAAGCGGACGGAAACAACAAAAAATTTTGAACGGCCAAGCGTCGCGTGGTTCAACAAACCGCTGGTGCTCCGCCTGTGGAACCGGCACGCCGAGTCTCACGAGGGGACCGGGTCTCACGTGGGACCGTCACGCAAGACCCGCGATCTCCTCCTGAATATGGCCTTGTCACTTTCGATTTGTTTTTCTTCATGGAAACTTTGAACTGCAATCATTTCTCCTCCTCCTTGTGATGTCCTCCTCCTCCACCTCCACCTCTCCTCCTCACCTTCTCCTCCTCCTCCATCTCTCCTCCTTGTCCTCCTCTTATCTCTCCTGCTCCATCTCTCCTCACCTACTCCTCTTCGTCCTCCATCTCTTATTTTCCTTTTCATGGCCTTGTCTTTTTTCTTTTTCCCTCATGGAAATTTGGAACCGTTTGTTTCCGTTTCTGATAGGCAATTAGTGAAGTGCTATTCTCGTGGGGTTTTAGGGGGGGGTAGGGGGCCAGGAGGGGGTGGAACAAGCCTGATTTGACGGGGTTCCAGAGGGGGAGCGGACTAGGAGAGGCGGGGGGGGGGGGGGGGGGGGGGGGGAGGGGGGGAATGTGTTCTTTGGAGCAGGCCCAGGACACGGCCGATTTTGTGGCTTCTCTTCTGAGGCCTTGTGCGCAGGCACGATTACACGCTGCAAATACAGTTCCGCTTTGATCAAGCGGCATTGCCATGACGACGGGTTCTCAGGGAAAGATGCCAGCAAGGGTGGCAAATGGTGGATCTGGAAGTATTGCGACACCAGATTCTTGGGCACCCGAAACCATGTTCCGAGAGGAAATGTGGGGTGCACCAGATTCTCGGGCACCCAGGACCGTGTTCCAAGGGGAAATGTGGGGTGGAGAAGAGCAAAAAGGAATTGACGGAAGAGGAAAAAGAATTGCAGAAGGAAGGGTTGCGGCAGGCGCTGATCCATGTGGCAATGGCAACTAATGGCGGCAGCAGTCTTCCTAGTGTGTCCAGACTGGTTGCTGCATCAACAGGTGTGGCAAATGTGGGTGGGAATAGAGAAAAGGTGACTGGTGCACCCAACAGGTCCTTGCAGTGCTTATCAACTTAAATAATAAAAAAAGGATTCAGCTCAGGACCGGATTGGGGAGTGGACATCTCCACACAGGTCGTGCGTGAAACCGTACCGAACGGGTGCGCTCCTGTACGGTACAGGTACAGGCCTGTACGGAGGTTGAGGAGGTCCCGGACCAGACCCCCTACAGCACACCGGACGGTGCGGTTGCAAGTATGTTTCAAATCCTGATGGATATTAGTCATGTTCTTCTCCACATCGCAATCATTGATCAAGCTGCTCTGGAAAGACTCTGCTGCACCAACCCACATTATCATCGTTATTCTGCGCCAAATTCCACCAATCATTTTGCACTCATTTTAATGATCATTTTTTTTTTTTTTTTTTTGAGCTAGTTTAATTCAAATGGGCAAACACTTGAGTTGCACTCTGTTGTTGCCGCTGACTGATGGGTTGATTACATTGCCCTACGTAGAATGGGACATGGCATAGCTGACGGTTACCGCTCATAATTCACACGGGGGAAGGCAACAATACAATGATAAAGGTATGTATTATGTATTCCATTTGTTTACCCCCCCCCAAAAAAAGAACGGAAGGTATGTATTCCATTCATAATTCAGTTGCCATGCTTTATTTATGCCTCTTCTTACGCTGTGCACATCGTTCTTAACGCGCTGTGTTCTGACACTGAGCGAGGTCTCAAACAATCAACAGGATCTAGATTCCCATATAATACTCGATTGGTCGGACCATGTTCGTCTCTCAGTGTTGCATACCGTAACGGTACAGGCCAGAAGAAGAACCGACCTCTCTCACATAGTACAGGATAGCGCAGCGGAAGGCTAAAATACAAATGATCCGAAAAATCAATGTTGCAATGCCGACCAAACATACATCATCATCATCCCATGGTGTGAAGGGGCCTGGAGCTCACACAGGAAGAATGCACCAGTCCCTAATCATACACAGATGAAGAGGAGGGGGATTAGATGAAGAAGAGGGGGAAGATGGGAATGTCCTCAACACCAAGTCTTCGGTACAGGTCCCAAATAATCCCTCGTCCAGTGTCTCAACCCCAATGTCGAGTCTAAGTCCAAATGTCGTCAAGTCCTAAAGTCACCAATCTCTCTCTCTCTCTCTCTCTCTCTCTCTCTCTCTCTCTCTCTCTCTCTCTCTCCCCCTCGTAGTCTGCAGATACTGAGAAGTCAGGTGGCGAGAGGGTGAGGAAGAGATGGTGGACTTAAGAGGAGGAAGAAGAAGAACTCTCTCTCTCCCTCTCGTACCAAGTACGAACCTGTGAAGGTGGCGCCTTGTTGCAGGTACATCGAAGACGAAGCTGGAACTATGGCGCCACAGGTAAGTCTCCCTGGCCTCCACCCTTCTCTCTTTCCTAATGCTACTCTACCTCCTAGCAGCGCCCAGCGCTGAGGACTACTCTAGCGCTAGCTGCTACTACTGCAGCGCTCCTCCAGAGTGCTGCAGCCAACTCCTGAAGATTGCCTCCTGAACGCACGTGAAGTGCCCTATGCCCTACCTGCAGCCTGCAGGGCGGGCCAGTTCTATATAGTGCTGGCCCGTCCGGGAGGCTGCTCTTGCCAATGCCGAAACGTGCCAGACCCTGGCGTTGAAGTTCAAACAAAGGTTGTCTTGAAACAGGCCCAAAATGGCCTGTGCTAAACCCTGGTCTGGCGCCTCAGTTTCAAGGCAGGTCGACTTTATGAGGGCCCGAAAATGGCCCTCGTTTTCAGGCTTTTAGGCAGAAACGACACAGGGCCCGTAGGGCCCTTATTTTCCATCTGGTCAGGCCCTGCAGGCCCGTGTGGCTGCGCAGTATGCCAACCCCCCATCTCCTTGAAAGACCGAGCTTTACCTGCGAGGGCGAAGCTGCCTGTCTGAGGGAGGAACCAAAGTCCGGGTGGGAGGGGCAGGTCGTGAAGCGTCCTTAGCTAACCTTTGTCGTTCGTAGTTAGCGTAGATCAGCGGTGCGGATGCTTTCAAATCTGCTCCTGAAATCCATTGAGTGTCGTCGGGATCGCATGTTTTGAGGGTAACTTTGTCTTGTCGAGGCTTGCTGCCGTACTTGCTATCCGTGATGATGCGGTCGACTTCTTGATGACCATCCATAGACGGAGGGTCTTGCGATCGTCGGCCCGGGAAGTCGTCGCTCTTAGCCGGTGTATATGTCGCCAGCTTCGAGGTGTGAAAGACGGGGTGGACCAGCAGATGCTGAGGGATGTCGATCACAAAGGATGGGCCATCAGGCTCGTCCCCTGCGACTGAACGGACGGTCCATGGTCCAAACCACTTGGGGAGTAGCTTGCGCAAAACATCCTGTTGGAGCGCAAACTCTTCCACGGAGACCCAAACCAGATCGCCGGAGCGGATGGGACATGGCACGCGACGCCTGTTGGCTTGCTGCTGCATGCGAACTTGAGCCTTTTGCATGTTCGCACCGGCGTGAGCCAGCAATTCCCTGTACTTCTGAACGGAGGCGGGAGAGCAAGCGTCGTCTATGTCGGCTGGTCGTGGAAGCAGAAGATCAGCGAAGATACGGCCTTTCCGGCCACCGTGGTGCAACTCGAATGGAGTTACGCCGATCGCCGGATGCAACAAAGTGTTATAGGCGAACTCGATGTCGAGGAGACGGTCAACCCAATCCTTCTGATCCGAACGGATGAGCGTACGAAGCATCATTTGAGCGGTTTGATGTGCCCGCTCCGTTTGCCCATCCGTTTGTGGATGTCGAGCTGAACTTGGTTTCATCTTGGTGCCGGATTCCTGCATGAGAGAAGTCGAGAATGCCGACATGAAACGAGTGTCGCAATCGTTGACGATGTCTTTCGGTACGCCGTGGCTGCAAATCCAGCCGGTGTGCAAGAGGCGCGCAAGTTCGGGAGTTGTGGCGTAGTACTTGCAAGGGCGAAATCGCGCGTATTTACTCAATCGTTCAACGACTGTGAGGATGCCGTCGAGCCCGAGGCGGTCGCAGGGAAACGGACCGGTGACGTCCATAGCAATGGAAAGGCCGGGTTCCCGTGGGATGGGCAATGGGCGCAACTCGCCGTAGGAATTGCAGTTGCGGGGCTTGCTTCAACGACAAACTTCACAAGAGTCTCAATACCGAGTGACATCAGTAATGAGGTCGGGCCACCGGAATAGTTGTCGAAGTCGTGCGATAGTCCGATTGACTCCGAAATGGCTGGCGAGTCACGAGTCGTGGTATTCGCCGAGAAGGCGAGTCCGAAGACGACGGTCTCGTGGGACACACAATAAGTCCTTGCCTCGCGAGTGGAAAAGCAAGTACCCGTTGACGATGCGATAATGGCTGGCCGGCGGGTGATCCCAAGATAGCTGCGCATATAGCGTGGCGAAATCCGCATCGAACTGGTAGCCCCGAATGAAATGTCGCTGAAGTTCCTCGTCGAATGAGAAGGCATGATGTGTCATTGCGCAAAGATCGGGTCTTCACGAGAGTGCATCTGCTGCGCGATTGGAGAGGCCGGCGAGATGTTTCGGTGTGAAGTCAAATTGGTCGATGAAGTACATCCATCGTCCGATAGTGCTGCTCACCGTATCTTGCATCTTGTAGTAGGTCAACGGGTTGTTATTTGTGACCCATGTGAACCTACCACGCCCAAGGGGGAAGTGCCTCCATCGCTTGAGAGCCATCACGAATGCGAGCAGCTCCTTCTTCCTTTCATCATTAAGTGAGTTGATGGGAGGCACCTTGTGGCTGAAATACTCCACGGAGTGCCAATCGTCGCCGTCGTGTTGTTCCAAGACTGCCCCAATGCCATAGCCGAAAGCGTCGGTCGTCACTCTCGTTGGCAAGGTGGGGTCATAGATGCTAAGGACAGGTGCCATGAGCATTGTCGTCTTGAGTGCTTGGAATGACCGGCGTGCGTCGTCATCGAATATGAATGGCACCTTTGGCGATTGTACTCTCGTCAATGGCGTTGCAATCCTTGAGTACCCGGTGATGAAGCGTTGATAGTAGCCTGCCAATCCCATGAATGAGCGAACGTACGTGATGTTCGTGGGCTCGGGCCATAACGTTCGTGATGTTCGTGGGCTCGGGCCATACGCGGATGGCCTCGATCTTGTCCGCAAGCAAACCGATGCCTTGCCACGTCGTATAATGATGGCCCAAGTACTCAAGCTCTTGTCGTGCGAATTCGCATTTGTCGCGGTTGGCTTTGTACGTTCCAAAATGGTGCGGAGGTGCTTCACATGCTCGTCCAAACTCCAGTTGTACACCAAGATATCGTCAAAGTACAAATTTGTCCAGCATGTGTCAGAACTCCGTCGTCATAGCTGCTTGGAATGTGGTCAGGGCATTCATAAGGCCAAACGGCATAACCAGCCATTCGAAATGCCCATATCGCATCTTGAACGTGGTCTTGTAGTGGTCCTCCTGCCGGATCTCGAGTGGTCATATCAAGATTTGAGGTCAAGCTTGGAGAAAAATTTAGCTCCGCACAGCCGTTCGAGGAGGTCGTCGATGCGCGGAAGAGGGTCGGGGTTCTTGATGGTTTGCTCGTTGAGCTTGCGATAGTCACGATGCACAACCGCAAATCCTTGTTCTTCTTCCGGACGAAGAGAACGGAAGCACCGTATGGCGAAGAGCTAGGCCGGATCCAACTTTTTTCAAGAAGGTCATCGAGTTGTGCCGTAGCACACTTTAACTCTTCCTCGCTCACGCGGTAGATGCAACCACGCATGATCCGGTACTACTCCGTGCGGGGCTTCGAACATGTCGTCGTAGGCGTCGAGAAGTTTGGTGATGCCTGGGTCTGTTGATGCGTCCGTCGATGGAATGTCATGAGGAGGGAGGGCGTGGAGAAAACACACCCCCATCCCCTCGATGTCGTCCCTGGTGATGGAAGCTCGGATGCTTGCGGCGGACACCAAGCGGCAGCTGATCGAAGGGTGAGGTGGAGGCACAGTGCATGGGACTAGTACTCCGTTCCGATCAGGAACGTGAACGGTGCAGCCGTAGAACTTCACCGGGTGATCCTCGCTTCGCAGCCATGACATGCCCAAAGTCATGTCGAACTGGGTGTCCAAAATATCGAAGGATACGGCCTCGCTTGCATGCGGGGTGAAGTACACGGGGACGGAATCAATGCACCGTTCGATTGACTTGTGCGTGTGACCGTCGGCCAACGTGACTTGCGTGGGCTGCAACTTCCTCCGAACGCGTGGCCCAAGCCCAGCGCGTACCATAAAGTCTTGGCTGATATAGTTACAAGTAGCTCCGCAATCGATCAAAGCGTTGCAGGTCGCCTCTCCGATCTGAATGCGTATGTACAACAATGGCATGTCGTTGTTGTCGTACCGTTGTGTCTTGAACTCGAGGTCGATCTTCGCAACGTAGTCGTGAAGGTCAACAACCTCTACTCCGGCGTCCATCAACGGAGCTGGTACTACAGTGTGCAAGTAATCCCGCAATTGTGCCATGAGCACGTTGCAATGCGGTTTCAGCAATCGACCGCTCGGGGGAAAGGGCATCCATTCGAAGTCTGCGAACGTCAACGGGTCGAGTTCTTCAAGTCTTGACCATGACGTCGAATCCCCGACGATCGTTGGCGGCGAAGCTGCCGAATCGGTTGCCGATGGTGGTGAAACCGTCCATGCGGTGGATTGTTGCACGTGGAGTGGCTGGTCCAACGGTGGGACCAAGTGGACAACGGAATCCTCGTAAGTGAACCGAGGACTCGCGACATCCGCATTCTCCCCATATGTGTAGGAGGCCGCTAGCAAGGCGGCCGAATCTGGCAGAGTGAGAGGTGGAGTCGCCTCACCTCCCGGGCGACTCAGTTTCCCGACTTGATGTGAGGTCGAGCATCCTCCTTGCCTTGATCCTGGAATTGGGAGGTCTTGTGCTTGATGTTGTTGCACCAATAGCAGCAGCCGTAATGACTGCGGTACTTGTATTCGGCCTCGGTCAAGTTGAACTTGACCCATGGTACTCGATGTCCGTTTCCGACCGGCAATGCAGTTTTTGCCCTCCCTTTTCCACGGGAGTTCTTGCTTCGCGGCTGGACAGCGGCCACCTCATCTCCCTCACGTGATGCTAGGCTGGCTGTCAGGTCTTCCATAATGTTGTCCGGTTGGAGTGCAGCGACGGGCTGCGGACGCGGACCAAATTTTCCCTTCTCCACATAAGCTGGCTGCCACGCTGATCTCTCATGTGCAGCAGCCCGGTTGGTCTTGATGATCTCGCTCACCTTGTCGATGATTTTGGCGAAGGTCATGTACTACTCGCGATCACCGAGTGCGAGGCTCAAGGCGGCACACGACTGGTTGTAGAACTCTCGGCGCAGATGCGGAAATGACAAGTCGAGATCGGGTGTTGCCACAATCTTTTGCCATTTCGTGAGACAATCGCGCGTCAATGTGTTGCCTTAAGTCATGATGAAAAGGCAATTGATGGCGAGTGTCGGGGTGTCGTCAACAATGAACCACTTCTTCCATTCTCTCGTTAGATCTTCCCATAAGATCTTCTTGTGTAAGTTGTTGACCTTGATGTCATGGATGGTTGCCATGTGGCTGAGCCAGATCTGTCATCCGCCCTTGACGTTGAGGAATAGCGCCACAATGTACAAATGTTCGGGGACCTCGTGAATACCAAGCTCCGTTGTAAAGCCTTGCCACCAGACGACTGGGTCCTGATACGTATAGTAGTCAAACTTCTCGATCCGGAACACCGACATATTGTAGTGCTTCGATGCACTGGTGCTGCGATCGTTGTTGCGCACCTGGTGTAGCTGCCTGAGTTCGGTCTGCAAGGTGTCGAGCTGCTCGTTGATGGTGGCTGGTCGGGCGAAGGTGCTGATGTCGCCGAGCATTGGGACTACATGGTCAACTCGCTCCTCCAACTGGCGGGTTGAGGCTGCATTGCTGGGTTCCCCAGCGTCTGCTCTTGGTGCTGCTTGCTCCAAGTCCTGTACACGGGAATCAAGTGTCCAAGTACTACATGTAGCACCCTCGTGCAGATCCTTGTGGTTCCGCACTGCCCGTCGGACGTTCTCCAGTTCCTGGTGCTGTTTCGCCAGTTCCTAGTGTTGTTTCTCTAACTCGGACTACGGGTGGTTACAAGTGTAAACCACCGGGTCACGAGTTTGGAGAGGAACTCCTTGTGCTGCTCTTCCGGTGTTGCATCATCATGGTCCTTGGATGGTTCAAAATGCCAAAACTTGAGCTTGTCGATGCTAGTGGCTTTGGGCCGCTGCGGCAGATCCTGGGCCTCCTTGCGGCGGGCCTACGCGTCTGCGTCAGCTGCGGCTTGAAGCCGCTGTTTGTCGGCTTCTGCCTCTGCTTCAGCCTGTAGGCAGGCAGCCTCGGTTGCCGCCTGGCGCTGTACCTCAGCCTCGATCAGTGCAAGCTGAGCTAGAACCCGTTGTCCGTACTCGTCAATGGACTCGTTGGCCAATTGGCCTGGCATGCCCAAAGCTGAAACCGTCATGGTGGCGGGGCACCACTGATGTGGCACTGTTGCTGACATGGCACTGTTGCTGACGTGGCATTGTTGCTGACATGGTACTGCTGATGTGGCAATGTTGCTGACGTGGCACTTACCAAACCGGGAATGCAGACAAAGGGTCTCGTTAGACACTCCTCGGGCGCCGAAATTCCTCGAGGAAATGATCGTTCCACCTATCCTTGGAGACGAATTCCGAAAAACACATGTGAAAACATTTCCTCGGGCGGCCCCAAGGATTTCCTCGGGCTACAGCCATTTTGCTGCGTTTCCCGAGGAACCTCGCAAGGTCGCTCGGAGAACGAATGTCCGCAAAAAACGGGACGGCGGCAGCAGCTATCGTCGTCCTCCAATTTCAGCAGGGTGGTACAAAGGTGGTCCAACCGGGCCGTGGGCGGACACTTGCAGGCGCCAACGTTCGGGTGTCGGATATGAAGGAAGGCAACGGTTACTTTGGTCAAGGGGCCGGGGCCGGCCGGCCTCCCGAACGTTGGATGCCCTCTGTGGTCCCTCTCCCCGCAGGCGGGAAAAGAAACGGCTACAAGGGTCGGCCGTTTCAAAATTCCAGCGTGTAAGCGATGTACGCGTGCTATGTAAAACGGCAGAGGGCGCCTTCTTTCGTCGTTTGTCCTGTTATGTTTGTCGTCGTTTGCTTTGCTAGTTGGGTGGCCTGCGCTGTCATTGTGTCTGCCCTGCTGGAGGGTGTCAGGTGTTGATGGCAGACGCCATCCAAAAGCTGCCAGTGCTCGTGCTTGTCGTCGTTCTCCTTCTTTTTGTCGTCCTCCTCCACGTGTGCGTCCTCGGGAGAGCGCCTGGACACGCTCGCAGGAGATGAGGGCCGAAGAAAGCCATCACCATGGACGCCAGGAATGTGAATCCACGAACGTGGACAGGGGCGCCTCCAGAAGGCCGCCGTCGTGAGAGCTCCGCCGTCTCCCGAAGGCCGGTTGGTCCGTCGAGTTACGATTACCTCCCCCCCAACTTGCAGCTGCTGCCAGAGTCTTCGGACGGGGAGGAGGAGGGAGAGGACACAAGAAGTGTCCCGCTTGGCAGCGGTTCGACCCACGATTGGGGGGGCAGCCAATTGTGTAGTTGCCGCGGTGGTGTGCCCGAGCAGACGTTCACCGAATTGCTCGAAGAAGGCATGCGCGGAGACGACAACGGTCGCGCAGTCGACCTTACATTCACCCTGGGCAGCACCAGCTCGTCCGCCGCCACGCGGACTGTGCTTGTGAACCCGCATCCGGACGACGATGCGGGGCAGGTGACCCTGGTCAACGGAGGATCGAGGGGTGTCTTCAGGCGGCAGGAGACGACGGATGCCCGGAGGGAGCGGCCAACGGCCCGAAGCTCCGCCGCCACCTGCACTTCACGAGGGCGAACAAGGAGATGGAGATGGCGAGCATGCCAAGACTTCACCAGACTGTGGACACGTGGTGGCAGCAGTTCGCTTGAAACATATGGACGGCGATGTGCTGCTCGTCGTCCTCTTACGAAATACAGAGGCGCGAGCTGGAGGAGCAATCGTTGAACGGCTCTGTGCACTCGCGACGAAGCAGGCACCATTCCCCCCCCCCCCCCCCCCGGTTCGAAATTCAAATTTTGAATTTCATGCACGTGCGCGCCTTTTCCCTATTTTCATGAGCGCGCCGCAGCCATTTCAAATTTCCGGCAGCCCGGCGGTGGACCACGACCTTGCACCCGGACAAGAGACGCTGGACCACCGACCACTGCCCCGTCCCGCGGCTGCGTATATTCTGATAAACTGCCCCGCGGCCCATCCTTGCAGCGTCCTTGGAGATCGTCCCGAGGAACGAGTGCAACGAAAGCGAGAAAATCCTCGGGCGACCCCAAAGATTTTTCCTCGGGACCCAAGGACGCTATGAGGAGTGTCTAATGAGACCCAAAGGGCTGGGTGGGAGGGAAACGCAGAAAGGTAACAAAACTGCACTTTCCATTCCCGGTCCTAATCAACAGAATAAAATAAAAGGAAGAGGATCCCCCCCCCTCCCCTTTTTTTTTTTTTTTTTTAATCTGTCGATTTGATATCAGTGAGGCATCACGGAGGAGTACTATGAGCAAGATCTAGGCAGGTTTCACAAAGTTTGACTTTCGAAAAAATGCGATCTTGAAAAAAAAAAATTGTGCAAAATAGAATGGAGGTTCCACTTCCAGAGAAGAATAGATCTACTTTATGAGAATATGACAACCTCACTATTTCACCTAATCTGCCCACAGAGAGGAAAAAAAAAAAACAAACGAAATGCTAATAGCCTAATACCGTATTTCCAGAGTTGAAAAAAAAAAAAAAATTGCAGAGATTTGACGAAGTCCTACTTGATTTATAAACAATCAATCAATCAATCAATCAGTCAAGCTGGCTCCTTGATTGGGCAGATCCTCTGATTGGGAGGTCCGCTCTGATACCAAACTGTTGCATACCTTAACAGTACAGACCAGAACAAGAACCGGCCTCTCTCACATAGTACAGGATAGCGCAGCGGAAGGCTAAAATACCAATGATCCGACCAATCAATGTCGCAATGCCGACCAAACATACATCATCATCATCCCATGGTGTGAAGGGGCCTGGCGCTCACACCGGAAGAATGAGCCAGTCCCTAATCATACACAGATGAAGAGGAGGGGGATTAGATGAAGAAGAGGGGGAAGATGGGAAGGTCGTCAACACCAAGTCTTCGGTACAGGTCCCAAATAATCCCTCGTCCAATGTCTCAACCCCAATGTTGAGTCTGAGTCCAAATGTCGTCAAGTCCTAAAGTCACCAATCTCTCTCTCTCTCTCTCTCTCTCTCTCTCTCTCTCTCTCTCTCTCTCTCTCTCNCTCTCTCTCTCTCTCTCTCTCTCTCTCTCTCTCTCTCTCTCTCTCTCTCTTAGTCTGCAGATACTGAGAAGTCAGGTGGTGAGAGGGTGAGGAAGAGATGGTGGACTTAGAGGAGGAAGAAGAAGAACTCTCTCTCTCCCTCTCGTACCAAGTACTAACCTGTGAAGGTGGCGCCTTGTTGCAGGTACATCGAAGACGAATCTGGAGCTATGGCGCCACAGGTAAGTCTCCCTGGCCTCCGCCCTTCTCTCTCTTTCCTAATACTGCTCTACCTTCTAGCACCGCCCAGCGCTGAAGACTACTCTAGCGCTAGCTGCTACTACTGCAGTGCTCCTCCAGAGTGCTGCGGGCAACTCCTGAAGACTGCCTCCTGAACGCACGTGAAGTTCCTGTGAACTGGCTGGGAAGTCCCTGTGCCCTACCTGCAGCCTGCAGGGCGGGCCAGTTCTATATAGTGCTGGCCCATCCAGGAGGCTGCTCTTGCCAATGCCGAATCGTGCCAGACCCTGGCGTTGAAGTTCAAACAAAGGTTGTCTTGAAACAGGCCGAAAATGGCCTGTGCTAAACCCTGGTCTGGCGCCTGAGTTTCAGGGCAGGTCGGCTTTATGAGGGCCTGAAAATGGCCCTCGTTTTCAGGCTTTTAGGCTGAAATGACACAGGGCCTGTAGGGCCCTTATTTTCCGTCTGGTCGGGCCCTGCAGGCCCGCGTG